ATGGTCTGGGGGTGTTGGAGGCTGCAAAGGGAACCACTTAAGGTGTTTAAATAGAGTGCAAACCCTAAATATTATGGTTTTGTCCATACAGCTCCTACTCGTCGAGTCGGTCGCCTGACTCATCGAGTAGGACACTTAAAATCCGCGCGAAAGATCGACTCTACTCGACAAGTTGGGCCTTCAACTTACCGATTCCCAGGGTAAAATACAACAATACTTGGAATTAAATACGCACCATGAACCGGGTGTTACAATCATAGAGGATGATATCAAAATTAAACTATAGCTCCATTTTCAAAGGTTGAATCCAATCAAGTTTTGATATGTGATATCTCTTTGACTTTTCTCCCATCTTCTTACCTGCAAATTAGACCCGTGTTTTTCTTCCTTACATTTCACCAGAAAATTAAACCCAGCTGAACAAGAAACACCCAAATCAAAATATGAGTAAATCAACATGGCAATGGAAATTTACACCGTTGGAAATGAATAAAACACCCAAATAAAACACACATAAATCAACAACACACTGTTGATCTGAAGTGAAATCAGTTGCAATGGTGATTGTTGTTGCAGTAGCGGTGGTGTTCGGTGCTTGGTGGTGACAATGATTTAGGCCATTTCCGGTGGTTGAGGAAGAACCAAAATCAAAACTGAAGTTCCAGGTGGTTGAGGAAGAAGATGACTGGGTATTTCAGTTCATTCAACTCATCGGTGACGGCAACTTGCATTCTCCGTAGCTCGACAACTCGTCAATGGTTGTTGGATTTTTTTGTGTTTGAGGAAGAGCAAATGGAAGACATTGGTTCCAATTGTCTATCTTAACATCTCTCTTAGTATGTAATTAGGTCAAACCCTTTTTCTCCTCCTTTCACACACACACACACACACACACACACACACACACACACACACATATATATATATATATATATATATATATATATATATATATATGTTTTGAATTCAATTTGATACCCTTGATCAAACATAAATGTGAATTGGTGGAGAATGGAGGGTTTGGTGAAAGCGAATGTGTGTAGTATGTGTTGGGTTTTAGTTGCAGATGGGAGGGAGGAGGGAGGAGGAAGGAAAAGAAGAATACGATGAGAAAGAGAAAGGGATAGGTATTTTTATTTTTTATTTTTTAAATATTTAGTAAATATTAAAATAATGTGAGAAATAAATTAAAAAGGAAAAATAGTCATTTCAACTTTTTTTCAGGGACCAAAACCACCAAAAGTTTCTGATTTTCGACTAATGGTGCAAGTCCAAAAGATTTTGGACTCTATCCATATTTTTTTGCTAACCATAGGGACCAAATTTGCAGTTTAGTCTATAAGGAACCCCTAGTCCCTTGATTTCGTCCACTCCTTCCCTCTACAAGCCTTGGACGAAAATTGCTTCTCCCTTCTCCTCTCTCTTAAGTTATGCTCTTGCTAGCTTGGGTGCGATTCCATTAGAGGTATAACATTTATGGTGCTAGCTTCCAATAGATTTTCAAAGGGAATTTCTAGTTGTTTGCTATAACAACTAAAATGTATGTAATCCTAAAACCTTTCCTCTATTTTTTGAAAATATCCTAGGGTTTTTAGGATTCTTTTTTATGTTCTTAGTTATAGGTTCAAAAGAGAAAACATACGTCGTATTTAGGTTGCATGCGAACTTAAGGGTTTTATTTTTGTTTGTTTACCTAAATCCCATCATTTTATCCCTAACTTGGACTGTATTTAGGTACCATTATCAACGAGAAAAAAAGGGTGGGGTTTTTTTGATATTGTTTGATTCTTCCATTTTTTTATGTGTTTACATGTGTGGGAAACGGGCGTGTGAAATGTGTGTGTATACCGTTGTTGGTCCCTAGATTGCGTATTCGAGAAAACACTAACTTGGGTGTTTGATATTGTCTCGTTCCTTTTTGTTCTTCTTGAAATGGTGGGGTATGAATAGACTAAAATATCCTCATCTACACATCACATGAAGATGGTTAACAATCGTAGGGGAGACGGGGGTTAGGGGGTAGATGAATAGTGAAACAATAGTTTAGAGAAGATACCATCTTTGCGAGGAACAGAACCTTTGGACTAAATGTGATATTTTATAAACGTTCTTAACCAAACATGTAATTTGCTCTAAAAGTTATATATATAATTGAATGAACACATTTATAAATCAATACCAAAGATCTATTTATAATAAAAGCTTTACATAGACGTAGTAGGTAAATTGGCAACAAGTTGTACCACAACCCGTTTTTGGATGATAACTAATTCTTTTAAAAACATCCATAGATCTTGGGGTCAGAGTAATAATGTAAGGCACGTTGGACTCTATGAGGAGCTCTACAAAACATTTGACACAAGGAAACCGAAAGTATCAAATGTAATAGGTTTAAATGTGTGTTGATTTTCCATGCATGCATTCTCATGTTTTTGCCACTTTGTATGATGCAACTTTTAAAACAGTTTGACCCACAATGAAAACCCCACTCCCCAAGTCCAGAAGAGGGGAAACCCCTGTTACATCCACACATGCATGCTTCCCTCCAGCCCATCTAAAAATTAAAACATCAGTTAGTTTAAGTGTTGATTTTCTTTCCAATGGGAAAGTCAGAAAGTTTACATGTGCCTCCTTCCAATGGGTCAATTTGGTTGTTAAAAAATGTAATTTCGATCTAGAACTCATGAACCCAAATATAGTGTTTGTACCCAGGCCAACTTCACAGTCTAAG